ATCTGCATTTATTTCATGCCAATGCATTTATTTTGCATTTTTGCATTTGTTTTTGTCTCTTCTTGTATGCATAACAATTTTGCCAGCCAGTCAGCATTTATTCTCGTTTGGCAAAGCTGAATTGCCAAAAAAAATTCTTATCTCAATTTGAATTCCATTTAATAAAGTTTATTTCTAAATGCAATTCAAGTGCGACAACATAGCGCAATTAACTTGTAATTGGACAAAGAGCATTCAATCTCGAACTTGGCTCAGACAATTGCCTACAGTGATCGCTCGCAAATGTGAACGAGCTGCCAGAAGTTTCTCCTAGCTAAACATCTGATTGGGGATCAGCGCATAGCTGAGGCTTTCTTCAGGGCTGAAAGTGAACCCTTAGAAGAGTAATTGATAAATTTGACCTTCAAGGAGGTCCGTCTGAGCGACGGACCAACAAACGGCAGGTCGCCGGTTCAAATAATTGTTCACAAATAAAAGGGCAATTACTGAGCAGGAAGTTTGGGGATCTAAACACTTTGAAGGCAACATATTTTTATACCCTGAACCCATTAAAAATGGGTAAAAAGGGTATAATGTATTTGTGCAAATGCATGTAAGAGGCAGATATAGTATATATGTATATTCTTGATCAGCATCAATAGCCAAGTCGATTTAGCCATGTCCGTCTGTCTGTCTGTCCGTTCGTCCGTCCGTCCGTCTGTCCGTATGTATGAACGCAAGGATCTCAGAACTTATAAGAGCTAAAGACTTACAATTTTAGCTGTAGGTCCTCCTAGTGCCCGCGCACCGATATTTTTTTCCGATATTCGATAACTTGCCCCGTTTCCAAGTAATCGATAAAAAGCGATATCGAAATCCTGTTTTTTGAGCAATTTTGGTAAATAATAAGTGCTAGAGTCACCAAACTTGACATGTAGCTTTTAGAATAGTATATATATATCAAGTAGAAGAGGGTTCAGGGTATCCCCTAATCGGTAGCTCCCGACTAGAACCTCTTACTTGTTTAGAATATATATGTACTTATATGTACTTAGAAAATATCTACTTAAAGCTTGTCCACTTGATCAACTTTGGCTTCTACCTGTCATATTGAAGCCAAAATTGCTCGCTGATTCTTGGCAAAACGAAGAAAATCTATGTTTTCTTAATAAATTAAAGCTAAAGTTTTTAAAACGCAACGCTTCAAGCTTAAAGGACAAAGTAACTCACTGTAAAAACGAACAGCATTCCTTGCATGTCCTTTTGTGACAAGAAATCAATTCAAATTGTAAAGCTCTCTAAATTTAAAATTTTATTAGAAGCCAGTTGACAACATTGAATTATGACTAGCCAGAAGTCCGTCTGCAAAACAATAAAACTAAGCAAACAACTCGACTCTATTAATAGTTGAAAACCCAGGGAAAGAAACCGAGTAAATGCTTTTATCAAAAGTGCCCGACTAGGCGATACCCCGTATACATTTGCAAACTTCGATTCGAGTCCAAATGAGCCTACATGCAAAATTTCTAGTCTCTAGCTTTTAGTTTTAGAGATTGTCAGCCGCGCAAGGCATTGAAAGGATCAATAATATATATAAGACTGCAATGTCCACTTTCTTATCTTGTCTTCAATGGACGCAGGGTATAAAAAGGTTCAGAGAAACAAAAAAAAATGCAAAGCAAAGAGTGAAATACTCTCAAAATTGAGTTGATTTTAAAACCCCCTTTCAAGAGGAATATATCGTTTTTAACCTGATTGAAGCACATACGATAAAAAAGCTCTTACGGACCACTTCGAATGCTCTTTTGTTTACAGCAAAACAACAGAAAAACATATCAAGTAACTGTTATATTATGTGCATATGATCAGCATACACCGATGCACTTGCACAAGTGCAGGGTATAATAAAAAGCAGCTCTTCGTGCGCGTCCATCACCCGCAAAAACTTACCCATGCACAACAACAACAACACCAACAACGACAACGACAGCAACAACGACAGCAGGGAAACTCGTCCACTGTACACGTGCCAACGCGCGTGTGAATGTGTTCCCATTCGGAATGGCTCCATGTCCGCTTGCTTCCTTCGTTCTTTTACTGCTGCTGCTGCTGCTGCTGCTCTGCTGCTGCTCTGCTGCTGCTCTTATTGTTTGTTGCTGTTTTCATTTTTATTGCCCGGCAGCCACAGTCGAAGTGAAACTGAGTAGACGAAGTTGGACGCTGCGTGTTTGCACTGTCCGCAACTAATTGGATTGGCGTCGACCATTCAAGAACGAACGGAGTTTTAATGTTTGCTCACTCACATGTTTGCACTCCTATATATACATATATGAACATATGTCATGATTAATTGAAATGCGTAAAAAATTAAAAGTCACTGTAATATTGAAAATGGCAGCCATTTGCGCTGCCCGCCATTTTGACAGCACTTACCAGCTGACGATCGCCCCATCGATATTAGCTTTAGCAGCAGCGATGAGCCGCGATGTCTCGAGCGATCGCCTATCGATATTATCGCAAAGTGTAAATAAATGTGATATCGATATGATACTTCCACAATGGTACAATTGATGGCGCTTTTAATATGCAAAACCAATGTATGTTCTACATTGCATTTTTTTTTCTGCTTCAATAAATTCAAATACAACAACGCTGCTGACATTTTGTGGTTTTATTGGCACATAAATAAATAAACGAATGTCAAATTGCCGAGGTGTGCATTTTGTTGATAAATAGTAGATGTATGTATGTACATATATGCACAAGCGAAGGCAGTCGAATGAGCAGCGGACATTTATATGAAATAAATTAAAACATATCCAACGGTCACACTGCCCGCTTTCGATTAAAATGAAATACGCGTTTAATCCTGTATTTATGCACGTGATCACAAATTACTTTAGCTAACGTGCTTGATTAACTTAGTTGGATCGCATGGTATGTTTATTCCTCCACAGAATTAGTCAGCGTGCCAAACTGTTTAAACTGGGTTTAGATTGTGTTTTAAAAGGATTTCAGTTATATAAGATAATAAAAACTAAACCAAACAGCTTTTAATTAAGTTAAAGCCCAATGGGATTTTATGAAACTTAAATAAAAATAATTAATTATTGCACATTCATGAATTCGCATCATTAGCTAGCATCTCTGCCGCTCCAATGCATTTTTTATTATGTGCCAATTGTGCAGGCGCTGAGAGTCATAATTAGACCATTCACGTGACCGACCGTAACAGTCCTGGCTGTGTTCCCATTACCGTTAACGAGCAGCATACGGACTGACAGGCAAGCTGGCAGCCATCTTGGCCTGGTCCATGTCCACTTGTTGTGCGCAGAGTCTTCAAGTTGTGTTCCACTACCGTTTTATTATTTTGTTTATTTTCTGTTTTTTTTTCTTTCTTCTCCCTCCCTTCTTTAAACAATCCTAGAGGGCAAAAAAAAAAAAGAAAGTTAAAGAGAAATTGAATGCTCGGGGCAAAGGGAGTCAGACGCTGCTTGCTGCAGACATGAAGCTGGTGACTTTGCCAAACGTATTGGCTACTGCGTTGGGTAACGGCATCTCGTGGCAAGTTTGTTGCGAAATGTGCAACAAACAACAACAAAAGCAGGAGCAGCAAAAGCGAACAACAAAAATTGCAAAGCTTTCAAAGTTGCGCAGAGCAAACTCGTTTTGTGGGTGGGCAATGGGGAACGCTCCGCTAAGCGAAAAGGCAGCCATTGGCTTCATCAAAACATTTCACAACGTCGCTTCGTTTTAATGGCGTCCAAGTCGTCAACATGGTCGCGCCAGCAACGGCAACGGCAACGACAGCCCAAGCGACCGACCTTTTGTTGCTTAATTGGCGCGCTGGCCGGTAGGGCCGTAACACTGGCAGAAACGGTTTCTCTAATATAGAGATGGGCACGTGTCGGCACGACACGACATCACGACTATCGATAAATGCATGTTATGTCGACATATCATTGAAGAACAGCTAACAGATATCTTGGATTAAAGTTGACGCTTATGTTAAGGGGCAATTGTTTTTATCATGTTTAACAGCTATCTGAGATTCCATTTGCAGGCTTTGCCATAGTTTTAAATCATAGAAGAACCCTTTTAGTTAGGCTCTGAAGTATTAAGTCGCATTGCTAGTATATTAAGATAAAATCTAAGACAATCTTGAAACCATTTTGGCGGTTGTTATCTACAAACTTTTCGATCCCTTTCTATACACATAAATCTATGCATCTTTGCAGCAGTGCCATAGATATGCATATATTCCTTCTTCTTTCTTCGTAGCTTCCAGTATTAAAACTTATTCAAATTAATTAAGATTATGCAGGCCGCTTTAACGGGAGCTTAACACCAATTGACCCATACCCCATTTGCAGATGCCAAAATATATGAACATAACTTTGATATTTTTTAATTATTTTCGCTTGACTTTTTATTGTAAATGCCTTAAGATTTCTGAGTTCTACTATTTTAGCTTATTGGAGAGCACGCACGATATTCAATTTCTTAACACGATCGGGTCGTCTTTAATGGCGCGTGTTCGTGTCACCGTGTTGAAAACACGACACGCGCTCAGCTCTAAGCGCAATGTGATGAGTTCAGCTTCCCGCGGCCTGCATATGTAATTCGAGAGGCAGCAAAAACATTTTGCGACGTGTGCGCGATTCGTTCACGTCCACACGCCATTTGCATTCCGGCATAGCCATTGTCCTGCGCCAACCGACGGCCTCGTGGCATCCTGGGCGTGGACTGGTGCCGTGGGGGCGTAGGGGCGTGTGCTGCTGCTGCTGCTGCTGCTGCTGCTGTACGTGTGTGCCATATAACTTTGGCAACGGGCAGCAAATACGTAATCACAACAACAGCAGAAGGCGTCAGGAATGACAGCAACAATACAATGTGGCAAATGTGCAACGTGAGGCGTTGGCACTTTGCTGCTCCAGCGCCGACTCCGGCCAGGGACCAAGGGACTCAGACTCAGACTGAGCCTGCGACTGCGACTGCGACTGCGACTCAAACGGAGCAGCAGCGGCGGTCATTGCAGTTATGTCACATGGCTGACTTAATTCATTCATTTAGACGACTCTCGCAATTGTAGGTGTCGCACCCTCTGTCATTTCGTTCTTGCCACCGACGCAGTGCAGCAGTGGCAACAACACCAGCAAATATGAACGCTGTCGCTACCCTGTAATTCGTGCTTTACATGAAAGAAAACAAAAAAGATGAGTTTCGCATTTAATAATAAAGAAAATTCGGAAACTTTACCTTCAAAACTGTGAATATCATCGATTTTTCTGATTTGCGATGACGGAAAGAGGCGTGGCAAGCCTTATTTGCAGGTTATAACTGAACGCTCTAACCTACGAATTTGAAGTTTCGAGAATTTATAATTGTTTGGCAATAACAGGAACAGGAATTAAATGCAAATTAGTGTATAGTATATGTATATATAACAGCATTACCTCTGTGATCAAGATATCCCCGTAACACCCGCGGGTACAGGGTACAACAATTGCTGCAACGGCTACACAAGCAGCAGTCAGTCAGTCTGTGGAGAGCCATTATGGCACCGACATTGTCAATGACTGGCACTGGCGAATTATTATTGCCTGGTGCAGGCAGTTGGACGCCAACGACGCCCAATGTGCTTGTCATTGTTCCCAGTCCCAGTCCCAGTCCCGCCATTGTGCATTGTGCATGCAAATGCAATGTGTGTGTGTGCGTGTGTGTATGTTGTACATGCATACATATGTATGTGTATGTGTTGGCATGACATGTATGCTCCATCTTGTTATGACATTTGAACCATTTCGCGCAGGTGGGAATTGGGTTGGGCAGCAACATGACTGCAACCATTTGTCAGTTAGTCAATCAGCAGCTTGGGTGGTCGGGTGACACATACTTAGTTTAAAGCAATTTTCCCATACATGACAATGACGACGAAATACGCGCACACACACATTCATATATATATATATAAATAAAAGCTACTAACGCTTTATGTAAGTGCCCAAAAATGATTGGTATGCCGATTAAGTATGTGGCGCACAGTGTAGAGGTTTAGTACCAAAGCCTTGGGCGGGAAAAATTGTTTTGTAGTACAGTGTTGTTAGATCGTCCGCAGATTATAGCCAGCTGATATTTTAAGTCTATGGCCAACTGTTGATAATACACCAATCGATATAAGTATCGATAACGGCGCTTTAATTTTGTGAGATCAGCATACTCAGCTTAAGATGCACAAGTTCTTATATTATAGTATTTTATATTCATGTATGTACATGTTATCCAAATAATATATGTATAAATAGTCTATTAACACATATGTGCTATTTTTCTAGTAGATTGATTATTTTTGACCATTTAAATGCTACACTGCAGCTATATTAAAATGAAATTCAAAGAGCAACGGTCGCATTGTTGCGTCGCCTGGCAGCACTGTAGTGTTGTTAGGCGCATGCGCAACGGCGTTGCCACACATTCATTTCAAATTTGACTTTTGCGCTAACGAACGTCGTGGAGAACGCAAGAACACAAAAAAGGGACGCTACAACGCTTAAAACAAAAATACTTAATAGAACAAATAAATATAAATCGTGCTAAGCATAACAGGTACGCAATATGCTTGGCGCTACAATTAACACACAAATGACAACGATGCGCAAAAGCGCCGCTGCCGTCGCGGCCTTGGCAAACAACAAAGGACAACAAGCAGAGAGGCAGCAACAAGTGCCGCAACAGGTTGCCTCCAATTTAACAGAAATTATAACAAAATTGCAATTGGATTATGGCAACTACAAGTACACTGTCTATCGTTGTGCTAGCAAGTTTGTGGCACTGCAAAAAATCTTTCACAGTAAGCAAAATGAATATCTGTAAATTTGCCCTTTATTATAGCAGCCTTGTTTACAGCTAGCAAGATACCCTATAAATTGGTGCTGGCCATACTGGAACGCCATGGGATGCCCGTGAGCAGCGGTAATTGTAATCTGAATCTGATGGTGCCGCCCTTTCAGCTCACCTCGCTGCTGCACGACATTTATTTCGCCTGCGAGAAGCTGGGACACTTTAACAAAACACAAAGCTATCAGCTGGAAGCGGCAACAGCGCTGTTGGCCAATTTCTTTTGGAATGTCTACGATCCGTAGGTGTTTCCTCTCAATTTATATATTAATATTTTCATATAAATAACCTTACATGATTGCAGTCAACGGCATCACTCCATCTCGCTGCTGGAGATCAGGGTGACATTTCTGCTGCTCTGCAAGCTATACAGCAGCGAGCATATGGTTGGCGACTTCTACAGCCTGCTAGCCGATGTCAAATCCCAGTGTGTGTCACGTTACGCCTTCGAACAGCTGCTGCACACGCTCAGCAAGCTGCTGAGCTACCTGGGCGAGTCGAAGGCCTATGGGCCGCACAATTTACAGCCCATGATGGAGCAGTCCTTCGCACGTTGTCATCACGGACTCGCTGGCCTCAACGAGCAGCAGTTTCACAATCTGTGGACGCACACGCAGACGCGATTCCTTATCTATGGCAATCTGTTGGCGCTGATCAAGCGCATCGAGGATACGGAGCATCTGATACACAGCAATCAGTGTGCCGGCTGTCGCATAGAGCACATCATTGGCATCCGGTTCAAGTGTCAGGTGTGTCGCGATCTGTCGCTGTGTTTGCCATGCTTTGCCGCTGCCGCGCATGTCAGCGGCAAGCATGAGGCATCGCATCGCATGTGCGAAGTGTTCGTTGAGGATCAGCCGCAACCGCAGCGCTGGACAAACTATTTGTCGCGCCTCTGCGGCTGGTTTGCCTTTGCGCAGAAGACACAACGTGCCGAGGCGGAGGAGGAAGAACGTCGCGGCTTTTGCAATGCTCAGGAAAGCGGCGCCGGCGTCTGTCAGCCCAACAATGCCACCGAACTGACGCCCATACCAGCCGAGACGCGCAGCATACGCAGCAACTCAACGCTGCGCCTAAAGGCGCCTCCAAATGAGAAACCACAGCAGCAGCCGCAACAGCAGTCGCCACCGCAACAGGAGCTATGTATGTCATTAGAAATGTACCCCATGTACCCAATGAGTAAAAAGAGTATATTGCTGTTGCACAAAGGTATCTGACAGGCATAGAGAAGCATCTCCATCTACAGCATATGGAAATAGGATATACGAATACCTACGATTTGTCAGTAAAATATACAGATTCTAATTCGTATGTTCTACTTCGCCTATTTCAATGCGAAACAGTGTATATGAGCAGTCGGAATAGACTATATATACTCCACTTCCATTTATCATGGTGCTTCTTTTCAATATTATGGATCCAGAATCCACGTCCGTCTATTTGTATCTGTTATTGGGCAATTGTTGTGACAATTTCTGATATACTAACAATTCATCGTTTATTTAAATATTTCAACCATTTTTCTTTCAGGCTCCTTAACGGGCCTGGCCAGCAATGCATCGGAACGCCTGCAATCCATCATCGACCGTCTGTTGCTGCAAAATGCGTAAGTACCGCCGGTTATTCACTTTTATGTAAATCGCAATGCTCACACTGTTTTCCTTTGCAACAGCAAGCTGGAAACGCAGCTGCAACTGCTGTCCAGCACGTCGAGCGCTCAAATATCCGAGTTTCTAAGCGCCCATCAGAGTTTTTTGCTGCACATCATTGAGGATATGCGTCAACTATCGGTATGCCCGGCACACTGGCAGCCATATACATATTGTATTAAAAAAATTTGTATATATTCGCAGCGTGCCTCGTCTGCCGCGCCGCTGATCAGCTCCACGTTCTTAAATTCCAGCACGCCGCAACGCCTGCCGCTGCCCGTGGCACCAGCTGTATATGATATGTACGCGCCTGTGGGCGCCAATTTAACACATTCCAGTGCGTTAATGAAATTCAAGAAATTCACTTGTAAATGTTCTCTAAGTTGCTTTCTCACTCGCTCTTGCAGTCAATGGCGCCGAGCTGAATCGCAGCTATTTGGAGGCCAACAAATCGGATTACTCGCTAAGCGACATTAGCCTGTGGTTCGATCAGCGTCGTTCCAGTTTGCTGCCTACAGCCGGTGCACAGCCGGCGGCTCTTTCGCTGCCCATGCCGCTGGGTGCGCTCCTGGAGCAATCGGTGAATGTGGACATGCGGGACACGGAAATGGTGAACTTTAAGCTGCTGCTAAACAAGGTCAAGGAAATTGTCGAGGACTCGTACAGTGACAATGCGGAGCTGTCGGCGGCCACACAGAATCTGGAGAATGTGCTCGACAACATCATCAAGAGCGAGGAGCAGCAGCGACGCAGCAGCTGCAGTGCCACAAGCTCTCAGCGTGCAATGCCCTGAAGACACTTTTTCTTCTAAACCATGAGGACAAACTTTAACAAATCTTCGTTGGACGTGCTTTAAATTAAGCTAATTACTGTATATAAAATATTGTTTAAGATAATACAAATGTTTCTTAACAATTTGACATATTGTTCAAGTCGTTTAAGATGCGATTCTTCTAATTCAGCCTAATCCTATATGGCATATACGAAGCATTATATGTATGCCTGGTAAGGATAAGCAGAAACATTTATATCAACATATCCGTCCACGCTAAGTCCATTTTTTTTCCTAACATTAAGTTGTAATTCGAAGAAAGCATGAAACATATACTTATTGTGCGTGGATGAAATTATTCGAAAATGTTATGAAGACTAAAGCTAAAAGTTGCATTAAATACACTTAGAACTTGAAATAACTTCCTGTTTAAATAAAATAGTTTCTGAAAATTAATCTCTTTAAATGTGAACGTTTTTCGGATAGCTTTATTTTTGTGCGATTTCTCTTTGCGTCGCATTCGTTAACGTTTTACGGGCAACGTGCCTTTAAAACTAGCTCAAAATCATTTAGACATGACTTCAATTGAGTTCAGGGATAAAAAATGGTTCACAGCTCAAATGATTTCACATAGACATAATACCTGATTATACAGATATGCCCGGAATAACCATATTAATATTAATTTGGAGTACAAAATTAATGGTTTTCATTATTAATAAGCTAATAAAATATTTAATGAGTCCAACTTGATTCAGCACCGTCTATAAAAGGTACTAAGCGGCATGCATCTAGCTTGCTTCCAACTGCGTTTGGCTCTTGATGTCAGTTACCAGAAAATCGGTGGCCATTTCCAGCTGATGGACACGCCTCAGGCTGTTCGCCCAGAGCTGTGACTGCGGCGATTGCAACTGAAACAACTCCGACTTGGCCTGCAGTTCGTCGCGCAGTGCCGATTCCAACAGCAGCGCTGCATTTGCGGGCACACTGCACAGATCCTCGTGCAGCTCCAGCAGCGAAACGTTGCAGTGCAGCTGCAGCAGATCCCTCAAGAGTCGGCGCAGCAATAGACACAACTGTGTCTGGCTGCCGGCATAGATGTGCCAATACTGCTCAGGATCGTTGCGCAGCAGCATTAACTGCGATCGACTATTATAAAATATTCGGTGGACTGTCGAAGAGGAGTCATTGCGGCCATGCCCGCTGTTGTTGCCAAAAGCAAAGTCCTCTGCTAAGCAAGTGTCCTCCAGCAGCTGCATAGCTGTTAAAGAAGAGGATCTCTTTAGGTATGGAGCTGTTCAAGAGACGTTACCGAGCCACTTACACTCCCTACGGGGCGCCTGCTCTTCCGGCACTGTTGTTGCAGCAAAGCCCAGTTTGTTGACCAGCAGTTGCTCGAATTGCATTTGCTGCTCCACGCCCTGAAACTGCAGTCGCAATGCGCAGTGCGACGTCTGCGTCATGATCACGGCGAGAAAATCCTGATGCAGCGTATGCGCTGCAAAGCTGGGCACATGAAGCTCCTGTTGCTCCAGCAGCGCGGCAATATTGATGCTGGCCAGTTGCAGCTGCAGCTGCCGCTTGGAGTCGCCATGCAACTCGTACAGTGCAAGCAGCTGTATGGAATCTAGCGACAGCAAATCCTCTAGCTGAAGCCGAACCAGCAGCACGGCGCTGCGTTCAGGCGACAGCTGCTGGACGCAGGCGGCGGGCTGCCAGCTGAGACTTTTGCTCTGTTGCTCCTGGCTGGCCCAGAACTGTGCCAGCTCATCGTAATCTTCCGGTGGCTGGCCATCCGCCTGCAAGGGCAGCTCATACAGGCGATGGACATAGTTGAGTCCGCAGCCTTGGGGCAGGTACAGTAGCGGGCGCACAGCATGCAGCGTGGTGGCACGATTGCTGCCCGCCGTATTTGTTAGCAGCATGCCCAACACCAGCGCATCACCACAAATGCGCGTCCAGATATCGCCGCAACGCCGCAGCAGCTGCTTCTCCTCCAGCAACGGCGAACGCTCGCCGGGCGCGCCGAATGTGTGCAGCTCGCGTGCGCGCTCAAAGTCCATTTGCGTTTGCGTGCGCTGTGTGTGCAGCTCGGCGCGTGCGCAGTGAACGCGCTGCATCAAACGTTTAAATCCGGCGGCGCTGTTGTTGTTGTTGCTGCTGCTGCTGCTGCTGCTAGTTGCAGCTGCCTCAGGTGCATTGTCAGTTTGAAAATTTGTGCGCAGCCGCTTGCCATTGCAGAACTGCAGCTCGACATAGGCCTGATATTTGATGGGTCCCTTGACCAGCCTGTATTCCTGCACATTATCGTGCTGAGCAATCAGCTCGAAGCTGGCGCCATGCTCATTGGGTCGCTGCAGCACAAGCAGCTTTTGCCAGCAGCGCAGCAGCACATAGATATGCTCACCCAGCCAAACGAACTTGCCAATGCTTAGCGGCAGCTCCTCGACGGCGTGCAGCATGCTGTAGCTGGTCTCATCGCCGCTGGTGTCGGCGACATCGTCGCGTATGAGAAAACTGCTGATGGGTCCGCTGTACGCCTTCAACTCCGTGGCCAGCTGCTGTAAGCATGTGCCCCTGAGATCGATGTGATGCAACAGCTCCTTTTTTCGAAACTCGTAGAACTTTAGATTACGACCAAGCACCAGGCTGGATTTCGTTTTCTTAACATGCAGCTGACTGCAGTAAGCAACTGTGTCGCGCTGCCTCAGAAATTCGGGCACGTCTTCCTCGACGAGCGTCAACATAATAAATGTAAACAAAAAAAAAAAAACACAAAAGTAAACAAAAAACCGCTAAAGGCAGCGTGCTAGAGATGAGCAATAATATTGTGACTGCTACCTGTGAAGCGATTCACAGAGTTGCATTATCATTTAGATAGCTGACTATCGAACTGCACTGCCGGAATTCAATTATAACGGCTATGTGATAGTTGTTTAACACTATTTTTATTAAATTGTAAATTGCACGAAGCGCAAGTATTTTGACAAAAAAAATGGCTTACAACTAATAATACATGATATACACATTGAATAGGAACAAAGAAGTCGTTAAAAAAAAAGAAGTAAAAAAATAGTTTTCGTAACTTTATCCACATCACAAGGCGGGCCACTTTGAGCGCCCCCTCAATCACTCTTCGGGAATCTCTTAATGGGAATTTCAAATTAACATTTGTTCGCGGGAGGCCATCAACAGCGGCTTCTGCTGTACGCCAGTGGACAGGACGAGCGAACGTCGCATCCGATTGCGCTGCATGCTGCTATTGCGCTCCCGCACTGATTGGCGCAGCTGCTGACGACGTGCGGCCCCAACGCCGGCGGCATCCTTTTCGGCGGCGTTCATCGCCGCCAGCAAATCGAAGGCAGCGCGCTTTTGCTCCTTGGTCCACATATTGGTCAACTGTTGCGCCGGCTGCTGCGGCTGCTGTGTGGCTGGCAACTTGGCAGCCAATGGCGGACGTCGCGGCTGATGCTGCTGATCCAATGCTGCCGGCGCAAGCGCTGCAGGCTGCGCAGGTGCTGCCGGCTTCGCAGGCGCTTTACTCGCGCGACTGAGTCCAAACAGAGACAATATGGACTTGCGACGTGTGCTGGAAGCGTGACTCTCGGCGGATTCGTTGCTGGAGACGCTCGTTTGCATAGGCAGCGGCGCAGCTTGTGTCGCAGCCGTTGCCGGCTCCAGCGAATATTTGGTGCATTTGGGTGGCGACTGGAATGTGACCCGGCGCAGCGTATTGCTGTTGTTGCTCTGCAGCTGCTTGGGCGCCGTCAGCATGGCCAGATTCATTTTGGCCACCGTCGGCGAAGTCTCATTCAGCTCGATGCTGCAGTAGGTGTCATCGTGGCGCGAGGGCAGCGGTTTGCGCGGCGGCACTGGGGGTACCTGCTGCCGGCACTGGCACGGACACTTGCTCTGTGCCTGTGCCAGTGCCTGCGCCTGTGCTTGGGCCAGCTGCTCAGCCTGCTCCAGCTTGAGCCGCAACTCGCGTTCCATTGCTTTGACCCGCTCTTCGGCCGCTTGCAGCTCGCTGGCTCGCTGATCCAGCAGTGATTCGTGTGCGCGTATCGCATGCAAACGCTGCTGCAGTGCATCATTGAAGATGTTCTGTGTGATGCGCTGCGGACTCGGCTGCTCCCGGCGTATGCTCTCGTAGAGCGACGGATCCGATTTCTGCAGCTGTTTGCTGCCAAAGATGCGCCGCTTGGCCGAATAGAAGAGCTCGCTGCGCAGATCGGGTGTAAAGACGCCAGTGACGCTCAGGCGCCGCTGGCCATAGCCCTCATTGAAGCTATACTGCTCCGTGAACAACGTGCTGGATAACTCCGGCGATTCGGGAAACAGCTTGCCCACGCCGGGCAGCTGAAAATCCTCCCCAGCGTCGACGAGACGTGGAAACTCAGCAACCAACTGGTTAATATTGCGCACCAGCAGCGGATGACGTGTGATTACCTCAATGCCCGGACGCTGCTCATGATCCACGGCCAACATGAAGCCAATGATGGACTGCAGATCGCTGCTATAGATTGCCGGAATGCAGCTGAACTGCCCGTGAGCAATGTTCGCCGAGAGCTGCTCAAAGGCGCGTCCCCGAAATGGCGGACGCAATGCGCACAGCTCATAGATGAGACAACCGACCGCCCAGACGTCGCTCTTGCGATCGTACTGCCTGCCCTTGACCAGCTCCGGGCTCATGTAGTGCGGTGTGCCCACAAAGCTGGCGGCAAAGCTCTGATCCCGGCGCAAAACGCGCGCCAAACCAAAATCACCCAGCTTAACATTGCCGCTGGCATCCAGAAATATGTTCGCCGGCTTTATGTCGCGATGGAGTATGGTGCCGCTGGGTATCTTATTGTGGCACACCTGGAGCGCACGGCACAGCTGGAAGAGCACACGCCAAATGTACGGCTCCTCGAAGCGTTGCCGTTGCGTCCGTGCGCGCTGTATTAGCTGGGCAAGATCACCGCCATCACAGCACTCCATCACAATGTATATGGATTTGGCCTCCCGGTTTACCAGATGATGATAGTACTGCACTATGTTGGGATGCTGCAGTTGCCGCAGCACGCTGATCTCCGATATTAGGGATTCGCATTTCTCATCGTCCAGCTCGTCGTAGTTCATGCCCTTCCAGGCGTAGAGTACGCCGGTTGTTTTATCCTTTACCTTATAGCAGGTGCCAAAGGCGCCGTTACCCATCACGGCCAGCACCTCGTAATCCTGCAGCGTTTTGTTGGCAAACTCTGATGTGTTTTTGTGTGCTGGGGACTCCACGGCACTGCCCCCGCCGCCTAACTGGTCGGTGCTGCTCATGCTGATGCTGTGATTCCAATGAAGGAGCACTGACTGTTATTTATATAAAACTCTTTCCACTTTTAATTTAATTTTTATCCGCCCGCTCCCGTTCTGTTTGCATTGGATGCCGAAAACTAACTGAGCGTTGCTCCTGCAAACGAGTTTCGGCAAATTCATGCATACGCACATACACCAACGCACGCACACACACTATCATGCGCATGCGCACCGACACACACAGTTTTACCTGCGAAAACCAACAACAACAGCAGCGCACACAAAACAAGTGTTGTATACTGCATACACATTAGAGATGAGCCGCATGCGGGTACCTGTGACTGTGACTGGCACAAGAGCGAATGAAACGGCGCAAGCTTTCAATAACCAAACCGAAAAGTGTATAACGACCAGCCGCTAACACCAAGGAGATGGAGAGAAAAAATGTGTCGATGCAGTCGCGCATAGATATGTGAGTCACAGTAACAGTCACATTTATGGAAATGCCTTCAAAAATCACAACATAGCTCAACACTAAATGCATATCTTCTTACGTTCCTAGAAGGCTGTCGCTGATGCACTCACACACTCACACACACACACACACACACACACACACACACACACACACTCACACACACACACACACACACACACACACCCACACACACACACAGAGAGAGAGGGAGGGAGCGACGCCGACGCACTTTGCAAATCTTGCACGCTGCGCGGTCGCGTCGTTGCCTTCAGCCTGTGTACAAAATAAAAACCGTTGGATGTGCATTCAGGACAGTGTCTAAGGACAAACGTCCTTTGGCACAGCACGCCCGCAATTTGAACAATTGTCTATGCTCGTTGCCCACACAGTGACCATAAAAATAAATTAGTTTTGTTGCGTTGGCATTTCAATTTGGGCGTCTGTTGTTTCACTTGGTGTCTGCGTTTGCGCCGCTCAAGCGGATTATGTTACACACACAGGCATACAAACATCAAATTTCAGTTTTTAGATCCTCTTCGAGCTTAGTTATTATGAATTTCAATACGCTATTTTTCATTCAGCAAAACACGAGCCGCTTTAAATCCTAACGGATTTTGTGCATAAAAACACTTTTGTTAATGCTGTCTCGCTCGCACGCAAGCTGCAATTATGCTACTAGCTGAGATTTTCGTGAATGTGCATTCGTTGTGTGTGTGTCCAGCACCAGGTAGAGCACGCCAAAAACGAGTTATCTTGGGCTTATCGTTAGCCCGTGTGTTGATGGTTTTATGGTTTTTCATGTGTAAAACAAACAATGGCCAAAAGAAACAGGCAGCAAACGTAATCCTTCATAAATAAATCAGGGTTCGACTATCCTACGATCCGTGGTTTGTGTTTATTGCCCACCATTGTTTGTACGGGCCAGTGTTGGCAACTCAAATTATTTACCTCTTATTTGGCCCTTTTTTACAAGTATTTTCGGTCTGCTTATTTTTTAGTCTTACAAAAGGGTAAAAGAGTTGATATCATTTAGTAAATGATTTTGCTTGGTAAAGTTCAGAAGAAAGTGAATGAATCCAGCAAGCAAAAAGAAAATAAAAACAAATTTTCAATACTCATTCATATTAGGTCTAAATGCCAAAGTAAGTTGCCAAATAAATATGGAAAATGCTCGCAAAATAAAAAAACAGATGGTGGAACTAAACAGTATTTTGAATACAGCATAAATAAATCAATGATCCAAAACAGTATTAAAAATATTTTTGTTAATTAGAAAATGTAGCCGTTTCCATTTTTTTTTTCTAGCTAAAAGTAGCCTTTAAAAACAAAATTTGACAGCACTGGTGCCGGCGACCGCAAGATGTTAGGCCAGCGAGATTGGTTTGTAATGCTAGCGTTTATGGACCTGCACTTTGCGACACAGGTACACGCACAATTCCACTTAATAAGCCATATATCACATTTACCAGCATTTCACATAGCCATGTTACAGTTTATTTTAACGACAGTGAGGGGGAAAAAAAATTGTAGTGATAGTATGCAACCTTGATGCCTAATCACCAGGACGGCGGCTGGTCTTCGCTGCCAGCGGGGCGTGCGTAGAGGGCGCTCTTGTCGCGGAACATGATCATGCGTTCCGTTTCCTTTTTATCCAGAAAATGGCCAATCGCAAAGCCAAGCAGCGGTAAGGCCGCCCATAAGGCACGCTTATCCAGACCGAGCACCATTTTGTGTTGTATGTGATTTAGCTTTGACTCTTCAGCGCCGCGCTCTGTGCTGCTAGCAGTTGTTGGCGTTTCCACGCGCGTGTATGGGACCAGTCTGCGTAGATGGAGCCGACTGCAACAGTTGGAAAGAATATCACTGCACCGTACTTTCGCGCCAGCTGCAAGATGACGCTACTGCCCATATGTATGTGTCTTGGTCAATGCGAATGAACTGTAAACAAACAACAAGTAATGAGTGCAACATAAACGTGTTAAAGGGCTGTTATTTTTTTTTTGTTTTTTTTTTTGGGTTACGTAATGGAAGTGTAGGAAACGACAGTACTAATGACATTTTAGTGTGTGCAATGCCAACAATTGCTTACTCTGTACGCACACGAGCAAAGGACGTATTCGTTTCAAACAGCTTTACTGAATAATATAAGAAAATTGCCCAATTCTTTGTTGTTATTAACTTACGCTTATGCAAAAGCCTGGTCGATTAGAGATGTGAGATGGAGACTCCTGGGCGATATATCGAAACAAGAAACACTATGTTAAGAAACAGACTTATATCGGTAGATAAAAAAAGAGTTAGGTACGCGTTATAAATATTTTATTTGTTAACTTGCCGCAGTAGTGCAGCACAACCATTACATTTTCTTTTGCCTTAGTTAAATATAAAGAAAATATTGCAATAGCGCTATTTTATACTTTAAAGTTGCTCGCCAGAATACCAATAATACCAAAATAGGTATTTTTAAAATCATTTCACCATGGCTATCGATACTACTATTGATGTTACATGCGGGTCCGATAACGATAACATTTCTGATACAAATTTGCCGGCGCGACAACAACTGGGCCGGCATTTTGGTTAAAGATTCCAATTGTCATATTGAGTACTTTGATTTTGTGTAGTGTGCGACTGTTTGTGCAAGCAAGAAACTCGCAAATCTGGATGCATGCAATGAGATGATTGCCGTCGCAGAGCCGCCACTGGAATTCATTCCTCGCGGTCGTCAGGCGGCAGAGGAGCATCCCGGGCCCACAGAACCGCCGTTGCCCAAATATTTGCCCGCCGAGCATTTGCTGCTGCAACGTCTACAAAATGTCAATATCTCAGCCGCCACAGAGGAGCCACAAGAATTCTGGAGCATACGCGAAATCTATGATGACTACGAGGCCAGCTATGAGCGCGCCCAGCGTCGCCAGCAGCTAATCGAGCAGACCAAAAAGTGCGGACCGAATGCCGCCGCTGCCATGCAGCTGACATCGCTGCCACAACAGTTGCTGGAACCGATCAAGCAGCGTCGCGAGGAGCCCATGTGCGACTACATAGTGAACAACGAGGAGGAGCTGTATGTGAACAAGCACACGGTGATCTGGACGCAGGGACTCAACGATGACGATGATGGTGTGCAACGGCGCATGTGCTTCACCTGCGACACGCCGGTGAAGTTCGCCTGTTTCCTGAATCGTCGCTTTGTGCGCGGTCGCTTGGCGCAATTGCGCGCCGCTGTCCAACCGGAGGATGACAGCTTGACGGCCATTTGTGTGGTGGATCAGGATGCACTGCGCGTCTATTGTGATGATGGTGATGACTTCTTGGCCAATCTTGATTTTCCCGTCTCGCATCTGTGGCAAACGGAGCACGGCTTGCTGCTGGAGAAGGACTCCAGCAATGCACTCGTCTCGCATCTGTCCATACCAATGCCGCGTCTGTTCTCCATGTCGCATCCCTTGCACGAAGCCTGCCCGGTTGTGCTTAAAACATCCACCAGTTCCACTGGATACATGACCGAACCGGAATACAGTGTGGTCTTCACAGCCGAGGATTCGGACCTCGTGCTGCTCTATGATGCCAAGTTCTTCAAGCATTTTGCTGCCCGTCTGCGCAAAGTGACGCCCGAGGAGGTGAACTATGTAAGCCAACAGCAGCAACAGGAGCTGCTCAACCAGACGCTGCAGGGACATCGCGGCACACCGGGCACCAGCAGTGTCCATAGCTTCAGCTCCACCAAGCTGACAGGCGGTGGGTAAACCTTTAAATATACACTGTAACACAAGGGGAATGGGTTATATCAGGGTATTTAAGCTTCGACTTCATAATCTCACGATTTAAGCTCTCGCATCTTGTTTTGTTTTGCAGCTACGCCCAAGCTGAGCACCGCATCCTTTCTGGGACGCAACACTCCGGTTACGCCGGCAAACAATTTCTCCAAATATGGCCTTAGTCAGTCGCAATCCTTTAGCGGCGTCCTCGGGCAATCCAAGTGAGTAGCTACCGCCGCGTTGTATTATTATTTGTCAATTCCATCGACTAATCTTCTGGTTTCACTCGCACGCAGTCGCGCCTCGCTGGGCACACCGCTTAGTCAGCTGCAGAATAGCATTAGCCAGCAGTCGGTGTCCGTAAAGGATATGCGCAAGATGACGCACGTGAAGCCGGCCAAGCCCATTGAGCCGGAGATGTGCTTGGAGCACATCTGGACGGAGAACACATACGGCACGTAAGTTTGACCAGAACTGTTACCAGCTCGCATTTGAATACGTTTTCCGTTTGCAGGCAACGCGAATTCTGTGAGATGGCGACCCGCGCCTTCATCCACACGGATCTGGTGGGTCAAACGTATTTGTGCTATTTGCTACCACGTTCCTGCCGCCTGCAGCTGGTGCTGATCTATGGCTATGACACCAGCGAGCTGCAGCTGTCCACGATGGCCTCCACGCTGCCCGCCAAGGATGCGGTGGGTCTGCAGCGCTTGCATATGATTGCTGTGCTGGATCCGGGCGGCAATCTTATATTATACACGGGCACTGTGCTCATTTCCAAGGTGCACATAACGCCGCAGCTGACTACGACGGCGCCCAGTGTGCACAGTGCCACGCCCACGCCAGGAAGTGCGCCCGCTGCGCATACGCCCCTGCAGGCCATGCTGCCATCCCAGCTGAAACCAGCGAGCAGCTCCTTTGTGGAGGTGCGTCGCAGCAGCCTGTTGCCGACCAAAGCGGCAGCCGATCTGAACGCCTTCGATGAGGAACTGGAGCTGCATATGCTGTCGCCCATACAGCCGCAGGCCATGTCCTATACGCAACGGCAGGCGCATAACATATGCAAAGCGCTGCGCGATCCGGCCGGCAATCGATTGACCCTGGTCTATGCCACCGGGCGCATGTTGCGCATTGCCCTGCCGCTGCTCAACGATACGCGCCTCATTACACGCTGTGTGGCCGCCCTGCGGCAGGTGCTCAATCCGACACAGTTCCTGCACTTCATCATACGCTGGTACAGTGCACGCAATCCGCCCGGTTCGCGCGACTACAGCATCGAGCAGGAGTGGCAACTGTTCCGCAGCACACTGCTCGCCCTCATGGGCTGCATGGGCACGGCGACAGCCAACGATCTGAGTGCCGAGGTGGATGAGTCCTATGCACGCTGTGCCACGCCGCCAATGCAAACGCACCACATGGGCTGTGGCGCGGCACAGGATGAGCCACAGAAGCGACGCAAATACAACGACTGCGAAAACTATACCGACGATGATTGGGAATTTATGCTGCTGCAAACTGCGCTCTCCGCCTGCCCAACAGATCCGCCGCATGCGTACAGTGTGGACGTGACGGCGCCATTGTTTCGCATGCTGCCCGCCATATTCTATGGGCTGCACATGCTCTACGAGGATCTCAAAATGGATGCGGTCTTTCACAGTTCGCTCCTCTATCTGGCTTCGGTAAGTGTGTTATATAATAATTAAAAATAAAATACTATTATTTTTATTGTATTTATTTACTTGCAGTTTCTGCACCAACTGGCCATTGACATGCAGCTGGACAGCTATATATTTCACTATCATCTGGACTTTCCGGAGCTGACACACAAGACGACCAAGCTGACAATGCTGGGCAACGAGCATGGCGCCCTGATGCTATACCAGGAGCTGTTGCGCATGCCGGCGCCCAGTGTCCATGTGCAGCTGGAGCATGTGCTGCTGGGCCGGGAGGAAGTGCCGCCGCTTAGCTATTTGGAGTGCATCAATGAGCGTAGCCGGAATATGGTGCAGCTGGTCTCGCTGGTAATGCATGGCCACACCAAGCTGAAGCACTGGTGGCAGCTGCTCGAGATCTTCGGCGCCGTACAATCGAACTTTAAGAAGCGGCCCAAGCGCAGCATTTCGGTGGATGTGCCGCGGTGCCATCAGGTGTTGGAGCTGTTGCTATGCATGCAGCTGACACGTCGAGATATTGAACGTTTGCCGGCCGCAGTGCATCTGGTGCTAGCCGAGTCGCTGGAACAGGCGCGTCTAATGCCGCCCATGGGCAGCAGCATGGCCGCCTATGAGCTGATATTGCGACCCGAGCTGGCGGCGCATGCGCAGCTGCCATTTCTCGAAACGACTTTCGGTCAGCCGCATTGTGGGCGCGTCTACAAGGAGGATTCACTGTCGCCTCGCATCGCGCCGTGCAGCGGTGAATGGCCCATGGCCGAGCCGGAGGCCGAGCAGTTGCGACACGATGGCATGGACAATATGGACACAAAACTGTTGCGTCTCCGCTTTCCGGACGACATGCGTGTCGAGGAGGTGCGTCGTCTGCTCAACAGCGCCGATCCGGTGGCCATCGAGGTGCAACAATCGCCCGGCACCAGCGATCACGAGTTCATCGAGGAGCAGGAGAAACAGCTATTTGCGCTCTGTGCTCGGACCATGACCCTGCCGCTGGGCCGGGGCATGTTTACGCTGCGCACCCTGTTGCCCCGGCCGAGCGATAATATGCCCATGCCCAAGCTGTGCCTGGTCGGCCGGGAGCCGGTCAAGGGCACCACCATTGAGATGCAACAGATTGAGTTTCCCGCCAATATGCATATGTGGCCATCGTTTCATAACGGCGTCGCGACTGGCCTTAAAATCTCACCGCAAGCATTGGAAATTGATTCCACATGGATTGTCTACAACAAGCCAAAGACCCAGGCGAACAATGCACTGGAGCATGCCGGATTTCTGATGGCTCTCGGCCTTAATGGCCATCTCAAGTCGCTGTCCTTTATGAGCGTCTACAAGTATTTGGTCAAGTGCGATGAGATGACCAGCGTCGGCCTGCTGCTGGGCATCTCGGCGGCGCATCGCGGCAGCATGGACACCAAGACAACAAAATTGCTGAGCGTGCATCTGGAGGCTCTGCTGCCGGCGACTGCCATGGAGCTGGACATACCGCAGAGCACACAGGTGGCCGCTCTGATGGGCATCGGTTTGCTATATCAGGGCTCGGCTAAGCGGCACATTGCCGAGGTGTTGCTCCAGGAGATTGGACGTCCGCCCGGTCCCGAAATGGAGAATAGCGTTGAGCGTGAATCGTATGCAATGACTGCCGGCTTGGCACTCGGCCTGGTCACCCTGGGCCAGGGTGAATCTCCGGCCGGGCTACGTGATCTTCAGCTGCCCGATACGCTGCATTATTATATGGTTGGCGGCATCAAGCGGCCCATTGGCGGCTCACAGAAGGAGAAGTATCGCCTGGCCTCGTTCCAGGTGCGCGAGGGCGATAGCGTCAACATTGATGTGACCGCACCGGGCGCCACATTGGCGCTGGGTCTCATGTTCTTCGACTCGGGCAATACGGCAATTGCCGAGTGGATGCAGCCACCGGATTCACGCTATCTGCTGGACATGGTGCGTCCAGATTTTCTCCTCTTGCGCACCATTGCACGCGGCCTAATCCTGTGGCAGCAGGTTCAGCCGGACAACGACTGGTTCCAAGCGCAATTTCCCCAAACCCTGCGCACACACCTGCGTCTGCCCACGCGCGAAGATGAGCCGCCCGAGGACAGCGATGTCGACTATGAGGCCATCACGTAAGTTGCCCAGGCCAAGCCGATTCCATATGTATATTTATATTCCACCTAATTTGCAGACAAGCGTATTGCAACATTTTGGCGGGCGCCGCCTTCTGCATTGGCCTGAAATATGCGGGCACCGAGAATCCGGTCGCATTTACCACACTGCGCGCCGTTATCAAGGAATTCCTCGGCTTTCCGGGCACACCCATGGGCGAGTGTGCCGGCCGCACAACCATCGAGAGCTGTTTGATGGTGCTGCTTATATCCATTTCGCTGGTGTTTGCCGGTTCCGGCAATTGCGAAATTCTGCGCATCATACGCTATCTAAGATCACGCGTTGGACCGCAATATCCGCACATAACATACGGCTCCCACATGGCCATACATATGTCGCTGGGTCTGCTCTTTCTGGGCGCCGGCCGTTTTACCATTGCCAAGACGCCAGAGTCCATAGCGGCGCTCGTCTGCGCCTTCTTCCCCAAGTTTCCCATACACAGCAACGACAATCGGTGAGTGCTTGACTATATTTGCAGGATGTGGCTAATCCAGCGACTCCTTAGATACCATTTGCAGGCGCTTCGTCATCTCTATGTGCTGGCCGTGGAGCCTCGCCTGTTTTTGCCGCGCGATATCGACACCCATCAGCTGTGCCTGTGCAACATTTCGGTGCTGGAGGTGGGCTCCACCGAGCTGCGCCGCCTGCCCATTGCGCCGTGTATACTGCCCGAGCTGAGCACACTTCAGCAGGTGATTGTGGATGATGAGAACTATTGGCCCGTGTGCTTTGAACGTTCACGCAACTGGCATCAGCTGGAAAAGGCATTGGAGTTAAGTGCGCCCATTGACATTAAGAAGCGCACCGGTCGTCTGTCCCATCTGGAGGATCCGGATCGTTTGAAGAGCATGCTAGCCCAAACATTGACCATGGAGCAGAGCATTTGCTGGCAAGTGGATGTCAATGATCTGCAACAGTTCGCCAGCGAGCGTCTGGTCAAGCCATTTCTCAGCCGCTTTCTGAACACCAAGGGCATAGAGCTGAGCTATACAGAGCTGAGTAAGCGCCATCAATTGATGCTGCTCTTCTACAATGCGGTGGTCAAGGATCGCATGCATCTGCTGCCCGTTTACTTAACGCTCTACGATGTGAGTGTGCGCCTTCCCCCTTTTTTTTATATTTTTCGTCTCACCTTTCGATTTGCTTGCAGCATGTCACCAAGCAGGTGGCCAACAACAATGATATATGGCAGGTAAAGCTTATCGAAGCCTATTTGGGCAAAAGTCCCAGCGAGCATACGCTCTTCTCCGTGGAGCTCATACAGATGATGCAGGAGATTGCCAAGCTGCAGCTGGAGCAATGGACGCGTGAGCTATGTATACCGTTGCGTGAATTTGTTACCCAAAAGCGTCTGGAGCCGGGCTATGTAACCAGCATCTGTGCACAGGATCTGCAGCGTGTCTTCTGTGTCGTTAATTATTTCAATCTGCTGCCGGACATGTTGAGCAGTGTCGATCTGAGCAGCGGCCCCATCAACTACCTGCGCATAATAATCGAGTTCAACAAGCTGCAGCTGGGTCCGCAAACTATATACGGTGTGCTCAAAATATTCCAAGCTTTGTCCATAGAAAGTGTCGAGGAACAACAGGACGAGGTTGCCTTTTAAAAAATCAAATCTGTGCGCCTACATTTCTTGTTATCGCACAGCGGCTTTGGCAATTTGTTATCGAATTCCCAAAGCCACAACTAGCTATCGATTATGTTTTTAAAGCTGACCTCAGCTAACGCTCGTGTTTTGCAGCACTTGCGGTACTTACTGAGCCTTGCAGCACTGAGATTTACAATTTAATTTGTTTCCTGCGCCTTGCAACGCTGAGATTTACAATTTTTATTGCTTCCAATAAGAAATATAATTATTATAAAAAAATATATGTAGTTAATATTTACATACACTTACATATTTGTACATACAAAAAGAATCTTACAAAATTGTACCCCTTTATTTGTACCCTGAACCCGTTGAATATAGTTTTGTGAAATTGTCTGTAACAGGCAGCTAAAAGCAGCTCCGACTCCCATAAAGTATAATGTATTCTTAGCAAATTCTCTCTCTGCCATGTCCGTCTGTCAGTCTGTCTAAATGCGTCGATCTCATAGCAAGGGCTTGTTTGTTTCCGATCATCGATAGCTTGTCCAGTTCCCAAGAAATCGATTAAAAATCGATATCGAAGTCCTGTTTTTGAGCAAATCTGTTAGCTTGTAAGAGCTAGAGTCATCCAATTTGATAGATCAGATATACATATATGTATTTGATTTTTTTGGGAAATTGCCAAATTCCAATACTCTGTGGCTTTATAGGTTGTGCTCCATAAAATTTATGATTTATAAAATGAATAAATTCATTTTTAAGTAACCAATAAAATAGGGGAGAAAAAAAAAGTATATTTGTTGGCTAAAGCATTAGCTTGTTTCTGGGAGATTTAGGTTCAGGGTATCTTCTAGTCGGACACTCCCGACCAGAGCACTCTCACTTGCTTTCAGACAATGCGCTGATGCTCGCCAGCGCTGGGCTCGACAGCCTTGCGACGACAACAGCGCTGATATAAATAAATGCCCAGCAGAGGCAGCGGCGTCATGATGGCCACCGACACGGGCACCACTGTGGTCAGATCCGCCTGCGGCTGTGGCAGGGTGGTGCGCAAAAAGAATATGGCAATGCCCGTATTCTGTATGCCCGTCTCGATGGCAATGGTCAGGGCATCGACAGCGTTTTGGTGCAACAGCTTGGACGCCAGCCAGGCGACCGCATAGCCCAATCCGGGCAGAGCCAGGCCGGCAACGGCAATCTGTTATTGGGCGGTAGGTTAGATGATGGACTGGTATATATGGATATAAAAGAGCAGCTCACCTGCCACGAGAACAGCTGGAATAGATAAAAGTTGGTGACGATCGCAAAGATAATGATGAAGAGTATTAGGCACGCGGAGATCGGCTTCAGGAGGCGTACCAGCACTTGCGCCAAGCGTGGCAGCCAACGTTGTATGGCCAAACCGATGAGCAGGGGCACAATCAGGCTGGCGCAGTAGCTGGCGATCTTGCCGTACGGCACCTCCATGCCCGCCCGCTCGAAGATCAGCTGACCCAGCGTAAATATCCACAACGGCAGGGTGGCAAAGGCGGCCACATTGCTAACCGTTGTCATTAGCACGGACAGATTAATGTTGCCGCCGAGCACCGCTGACCAGGTGTTGGAGGCGCCACCGCTCGGTGCAATGCCCGTAAAGAACAGGCCCAGCTGCATGGCCGGTGAGCCGGGAAAGATGAACACGCCCAGCGCATAGCTGAGCAGCGGCATGCCCAGCACCTGGGTGACAAAGCCGATGCACGGTCCAACCGGACGCGTTATGATGCCCTGCAGCACATCCACATTGAGCGCAGCGCCAAAGTTAATGTACAGCAGCGACATCAGCAGTATTATGGAGCCCACGAAGACATGATCGATGACGCGTTCCGGTCGCACCACCTTCACCAGCAACGAGCTCGCATTGCTGCCGGCATTCTGTGGCGGCGAGCTGGTATTGCTGGCCGCATCGTACAGCCGCACCGTGATCTTTGCCTCGCCCAGAAAGTGGGCATCCACGCGAATGCGTCCTTGCCAGCCATTGTGCGACACCAGCTCCATGGGTATGCTGGCATTCTCGGACGCCACGCTGGCCAGCTGCTCGGCGGCGCTCTGCAGACGGAAACTGTAGCGGCCCGTCTGTTGCAGTGCATCAGCTATGTCGGACAGTGTTAGCTGCACCTCGCCGCTGCGCTCCATTTCCAGCTGCAGCAGCTCGGGCTCGAAGCGCGCCTGCCAACTGGCGCTGGGCACTGTCTGTTGACACAGCATCAGTGCCACAACCAGGAGCCAGTTCGTCATATTCATTTCGCCCGAAAATCTTCCAATATTTCTAATTGCGCAATCAACAATCTAACCGATTAATAAAAAACTTACAGCAAAAAACAAAACGTATCTAAGTGCAGCAGCCTACTCTGTTGGGTGCATGCCAAATAGAGCGAAGCCTCAGACACAGACACAGACTCACAGCAACAATGCACGCACACATTGGCAAAAACGAGTTACATTCGTACGGGTCGTCAAATAATATTGCTGCATGTGTGCATGTCGTGTATGTGTGTGTGTGGTTGCATGTAACTGTGTGTATATGTGTTAATTGTGATCTTAACAGCTGTTTTGATCAGTTGCTTTCTTCACACACTATTAACATTAGCTGTTAGCTGGCAGCACAAAACACGCACACATAGGCAAAAACGAGTTAGATTCGTACAGGTTGTCAATTAACATAGCTGCATGTGTGCATGTCGTGTATGCATGTGTGTGTTTGCATGTAACTGTGTGTACATGTGTTAATTGTGATCTTAACAGCTGTTTTGCCCAGTTGCTTTCTTCTCACTCTTAACATTATCTGTTTGGCTTTGAGGAGGTTCAATGTTAAAGCCAGTATTGTAAAAATACCAAATTTAGTTTAACTTTAATTGTAATCAATGCTTTTTTGTAATATGTTTTTGTTTTAAAGCTCTTGTTATAGCTGAAAACATAAATATTTAAAATATACTACATCATAACATGAAAATTTGATTTGCCAGTTTATTTTCGTTTTTCAAAACTAACCTCAAAATCGAAAATATGCTTTTCTTTCTGTTTGGTTTAATTTCAATTAAAAACTACCACGTTGGTTTGTAAGCTGCGATTCTCTAATGAAAATTACAAAAACTTAGAAGGCTTTTATATACAAATACAACTTTCCGATGATACAATTATTTGAGGTCCCATTCTACACAAAGGGTTCAGACGGAACAAGTCTTGCTTCTGTACACTAAATTTGTATTATTACAAATAACCAAAAAAAGGATTTATATGAGATAAACATTTTCAGGAAATAGAAAGTTTGCCAATCTAATTCGCCGTAGGAAATGAACGAACGTTGTTTTTGAAGTCTTGCCTAAAAAGAATTTTGAATGAAGGTAAGTTCCTTATGCTAGCCCGAACAGGCTTATCAAATATTTTGCAAGCTCTTGTTCCGCTTCAATTTAGTACAAAATCCTACATTGAAAATCATCTTAATATACGTTTGCATTCTAACCTAGAAATGGGAGACAGCAGATTTCTTATATACATATATGATAAACTATGTCGATTTACGGCAATTGAGAAATCTTACGAAATAGCATTGAATGTGAATGTGAGTAAATTTCAAGTTTTGATTTTATTGAAGCTTACGATAAATTGCAAAAATACGTTCTTATATGTATATAGTTACGTATATAAAAACGTGATCGCACAAAGATTTTAGGGGCTTGTAGTTGTGTATTGTGTGGGGTATTTTTAGTATCTGTAGTGATCGGGCTTGAAGGGTCCCGTCTGCGGCACGCCCAGGTATTCGGCCTGTTTGTCGGACAGCTTGGTGAGCTTGACGCCCAGCTTATCCAAATGGAGACTGGCCACCTCCTCGTCGAGCAGCTTGGGCAGCACATGCACACCGACAGCATACTGGGACGATTTGGTCCACAGCTCAATCTGGGCCAGCACCTGGTTGGTAAACGAGTTGGACATGACAAAACTGGGATGGCCATGGGCACAGCCCAAATTGACCAGACGACCCTCGGCGAGCAGAATAATGTGCTTGCCATTGGGCATCGTATAGCGATCCACCTGCGGCTTAACATTCACCTTCTCCTTGGCATTGTTGTTCAGCCAGTCGACATCGATCTCGCAATCGAAGTGGCCAATGTTGCACACAATGGCATCGTCGGGCATGTTGAGCAGATGCGTTGAGTTGATTATGTCACGGCAGCCGGTGGTGGTCACATAGATGGAAGCCTCCTTGCTGGCCTCCTCCATGGTGGTCACCTCATAGCCCTCCATGGCCGCCTGCAGCGCATTAATCGGATCAATTTCGGTGATAATAACACGACCGCCAAAGCCCTTCAGGGCCTGGGCACAACCCTTGCCCACATCACCATAGCCAGCCACACAGCAGACCTTGCCGGCGATCATAACATCTGTGGCACGCTTGATGCCATCAATCAGCGACTCCCGGCAGCCATACAAATTATCGAATTTGCTCTAAACAGATGATAATCGAGATGTAAAACCGATTGCTGCATGGACACTTGGCGACTCACCTTGGTCACGGAATCGTTGACATTGATGGCCGGCACGCCCAGGCGACCGTCCTTGAACATCTTGTACAGATTGTGGACACCGGTCGTTGTCTCCTCGCTGAGACCCTTGATGCCCTTCAAATAATCGGGGAAACGTTCGTGCACCAAATTGGTCAGATCACCGCCATCATCCAGGATCATATTGAGAGGCTGGCCATCGGGAAAGACCAAAGTCTGTTCAATGCACCACATGTACTCCTCATCGGTTTCACCCTTCCAAGCATAGACGGGCACTCCAGTGGCCGCAATGGCTGCCGCAGCATTATCCTGTGTGCTGAATATGTTGCAGCTAGACCACTGGACCTGTGGGGGCACAAAATCAGGACAGTACATTTAAAACATTGGATAAGCTATTCCCACAGGAGCAATGCAGTGGTTTAGTCTGGGTCAGGATACTCTTGCTAAGGGAGCATCGTTTAATTCGTTTCTATGCAACGAGATAAGTAGTCCGATCCGTCTTACAGATATTCATAAAAGGATCGAAAGCCTTGTACTTAAATAACTTCAAGTGGAAAGGACATGATCAAGAATATATACATACGTATACATATAAATATATTTACTTAATGGGATCGGATATGCCTCTCTCTTAATGCGCTTTACATTTCGTGATGAAATTCATTTAGATTAGGAGGTAAACAAGTTAACATATCAATGGGTTCTTGCGATGGCCCCACTGACCCCCAGAGATTACATTTTTGTTTGTTATCGGTGCGCCTTGAACTCACGCGCGACCCCCAAGCGTGAAAAAATAGAATTTTCGGCGCGTTTTTGTTTTTTTTGATTGTTTTTGTTTTTGTTAGCACGAAAGATAAGGACGCGCACATGGTGACAGCTGTTAAGGGAATTGCTTACCTGGGCGCCAAGCTCGACCAGCGTCTCGATGAGCACCGCCGTCTGGACGGTCATGTGCAGGCAGCCGGTGATGCGAGCGCCCTTCAGGATCTTCGATGGGCCGTACTTCTTGCGGCACGCCATCAGGCCGGGCATCTCGTTCTCCGCAATGATGATCGCCTTGCGTCCCCATTCGGCGAGACTGATATCGGCTGTCACCGGGAGAGATAAGATACGGTTGACAGAAAATATAAACAACGGGCACGGCAACAATGTGCTTTAACCTCTGGAAACATGTGCGCATGCATATGTGTGTGCGTACCTGCCTTTTGCCGGCATTACTAGGCAGATATGTGGCGCACAGATGATGCGCAGATTTTGATTTTATTTTTAACTCACCAACTTTGTACGTAGGCTTGGACATCTTGCTAGGATTCTGATTAATGCAGAGAGACACACACACGACCGAATTGACGACGCGCGCAACGTTAAGTGGCGAAAATAGAACAGTTAAGATCGTATGAAATAAATCGACTTATCGATTCGAGCACTGCATCGATATATTCATTGAGTTGCTCAATTTACGATATTGCATTCTTCCTTGAGTATCGATTGCGGTCTAAGCGAAATACCAAGTATCGTTCTAACAAAATGGTATATTGTGCAATACCTATCGGCGCATTACAAGCAAAGCGATTGTTTTATAAAGCAATGTACACATATTTTAATGCGTATAATATATCTTTATAAAATATTCTAAACGTTTAATCTGAGCGCGCTCTTAACGATAGTTTTCTAGGTTTACAGCACTGCTGTTGGTAAGCGCAAATTGTCACACGCAGAGATATCGGCGCCATTTTATTTCTCGTTACTCGCTACTCGCTTAAAGATTATCTGCTACTCGTTGCACCTGGCACACACGCGTTTTCCAAATCGTGCTTTTTTTCGCCCTCAGTTTATTTTTTAGTGTGCGAATTAAATATTTAATTGGTTAAACAACTAATTCACATAATGTATGTGCTAAACAACTGGCAAATGAGTGAATGCTAGTGCTTTGTGCGCTAACAAATTGAATTCAATACGTGCGTGGTGTTTTTTTTTTTTGGCCGAATGCAAAGTACGACGGCGACGCACAGTTCGACCGCAGCGCGACGTTGATGTCAGTTTGTGTGTGTGTGTGCAATAAAAAAACTACGAATTGCGAAAGAGCAAAAAGGCAAGAGACAAAAAATAATTCTACGTTCAGCAATCAAACAGGCAGCTTGCGGGGAGAAGTGCCAAAACTGTAAAACGGACAAAAGCGGCGCGCGCGGCGTGCGATGCGCTAAAAAAAAAAAGCAATAACAGCCATTCATTACCAGGGGAGGGGTAAGTGTGGGCAAGCGGCTGCGTGGCTCTAATAGCGACTCATTTATATACATACATATGTACTTATACATATATATTTTGTGGCGTTAAATGAGTTCACTAAATAATTTATAAAGTGTAGGACAAAAAAAAATCGGAACTCGTTATAAATAGTTCAAGCTAGAAAATGCTCGTCCGCAGTGCAAGGCCAACCATTTTTAGTGTTAAATAAAATCAGCGAAAAAGTCTGCGATCGTGGCGCCAAAGTGCAAACTGGTGTTGGTCCAGAAGCAGAAACAGCTAAATTTGAGAACAAGCAGCGGCATCATCAGTAGAGCGCGCCGCGTGTGTTGGAATCTCGTCGTGACACACACACACACACACACATACACAGACACGCATTTGACACACACACAGACTCACGCGTGGAATTGCAACAGTGTGGCCGTTTTCATTTTCATTTCTACTTTTTTTTTCTATAGTTTTGCTTGCATGCGTGTGTGCATGTGTCCTGCACACAGTGTTGCATTTTGTGCGTGTACGGGGGGGCCGGCTAAAATCCAATGATGTCCGCATTTGAGGATGGCCCACAGCAACAACAACTACTACTACAACAGGAACAGCAACAACAACAACAACAAACACAAACCCCGCAGCCGCGCACGCCACTGAGACTCGCAAATGAGGCCGCCAACAACAGCAGTAGCAGCAGCAGCAGTAGTAGCAGCAGTAAAAACAACAATAATGTAAGTACAGCTGCAGCTGTTATTGCATTGCCATGCCTAATCTCGACTCCTCCCCCCTCTTTAGTCCATCATGGGCAAAGTAAAGTTGCGGGTATCCAGCATACTTCCGGATTCACTAAGCAAATGGTTTTCACCAACTGCTGACCCAAATGCCGCCGCCGCCGCAGTCGCTGGGGAACAGTCGTCATCGTCGTCATCGCCGCAGCTGCCGCTGTCGCAGCATAATGGGAGCGCGTTGACAACTCAAATCAAACAAAAACACAGCCGTCGTCGCATACAACTCGAGGCAGATGATGCGCCCGATATTGCCGTCGATGACGGCACAAATGCTCAGGATCTCAACGAAGAGGAGGTTCAGCTGGCCGATAACATAGCCGAACACGATCTGGCCGGCGAGGATGAGCAGACGCGTCGCAGCGAATATAATGTTAGTTTATTGCGCAAACGTCAACTGGTCGCTAACGAAGACGACGACGACGATGATGACGAGGACGCCGAAGAGGAGGACGACGACGAAGCCGACGACGGTGCACAGCAACTCAACTATCGATCGCAACAGCCAAATCGCAGTGTTAATTTCCGCAGCAGTGCGGCACAGCCACTGCAAAAGCGCAAGCGCATGGAGGTAGGCCCAGCAGATCATATGGTCACACTTATTTCTATTTATTATCGATAACGACAGGCTACTCGAATCAAAAGCTGCCAAATTCATGTCTAAACACGCAAGAATTATTAGAAAAAGACAACAAAGAACAATTACATAACCTTGCCAATTACCAATAACTTTTGCTGTTGAAAGGATCTTTGGATCTTATATTGATAATGGAGTTATCTAGAAAAACTTCAATATTATTTGGTTTTTTTGTAATTCATCATTTATATATTGTTATCGACAAGTTGTCAAATTGCCAATAGATAGTTGTTAAATGTTATAATTGACCTGGAACTAATTAATTGAAAATTGTATCTCCTACAGCCAATTGAAAGCACGTTCAGTCCTCAATTTAATGCACAGCGTCGTCGCCCGCAGCTGCACGCCTCAACGCCAGCTGCCAGCGATGCACTGCGCAGCCAAGCGCCACCGAATCGTTTCTCAACGCACTTGAACCTCTACGGACATCAGCGTCAGCGCGAGCCCGCCTACAATTTCATGTCCGCCGGCAACAACAGCAGCAGTGAGGCAGCTGTTGCCACCAGCGGGGATTTGCCAATGAGGTAAGTTTGTGTTGTAAATCCCAAATAGAAGTGGAACCAATATCCAATTTCCATTTAATCTTCATTCATTTCTGATCTCCTGAGCAGCTCGCGACGCTCATTGAATATTGCGCCAATGACTGAACGCCGCGAAATGGCGCTGCCCAGCTATAAGCGGCAATCGCTGCTGGGTCATCGCGGCCTAATGCCCAACTGGCGCAGCTATCAGACTATTAACGAGGTGCCCAATGAGGAGCAGCAGCAGCAGCAGCAACAACAACAACAACAACAAACAATGCGCCAGGAGACAAACAACAACAATAACAACAACAACAATATAATACAGACTAAGCGCAGCGGCGGCACAGATTCCCAATCGGAGTGCGAGAGCAATGAGAGCCATGCGGCTGGAGGGTCAGGCTTTGGTTGTGGACGCATGCACAACTTTAACAACAACAACAACAACATCAATAGCAATAGCAACCAATTATTTTATGGCAATTTGCAGAGCCGGAAATCGGTGTTCAATACAAATGCGAATGCAACATCGCTGCTGCAACACCACAATTCGACACTATCGCTCAACTCGCTGAATCATCGCCGCCGCTTCAACGCCTCCATATATGGCAGCACCTCAGCGTTGAGCGATAGTCGTCTGTTGAGCAGCAGCATGTCGGGCAATTCACCATTTTATCAGGGACCCACCGCCTTTGGCGGCAGTTCGGCCAACAATCGTTATTTTAGTCAAGGCAATTTGCCAATCAATTCGGGCGGCAGCTCGCCGGCGCCATCGAATAGCGATAGCGTTTGCAGCAACAGTAATCCTGTTCGCCCCAATATCTGTCACAGCAGCTACGGCATGAAGCCCATCGAGATGCGACCACGTGGGAATCTGTGTGCCGGCGCTGGTGATGGTAGCGCCAATGTGCCTGGCTTATCGCTGACAGCGCAACGTATACTCAATCTATTGGAGAATCATACGACGCCGCTTATGGATGCCAAGAAAATGGGTAGCACATTGCGTGAACATCAATTGCAGCGCAGCTCAAGACACCTGACCGCCGGCTCCAAGCCCTATTCCTATCCCAATCATACTTTGGCATTTGGCTATAACACCGGCGGCAACAGCAGCAACAATAGCAATAACAATCGAAATAGCGATCCGGATAATAGCTCCAAATTACTGGTGCCCACCATGCTGCAGTTGCTCGAACGTCGACGTTTGCATCGTGTGGCGCCCAGCACACGTGCCCTAGTTGATGCCAAGCAATTGGAGGAGCAACAGATGTTGCAGCAACAGCATCAACAGTCCGCCAATTTGGCAGCTAACTCCAATACCACGGTGACGGCCACAGGCACGGCCACGGGCAGCCAGAGTCATACGAATAAGATGCGTTCACGTTTATCCCATCAGTTGCGCAAAGATGCGCGCATTGTGGATGAGCAGCAGATGCCTCCAGCGCCTCTCGATTTGCCCAATATACGTTTTCCAATGATGGCCAGCGAGCCGACATTTGATTTGGTTATTGCGCCGCCGCCGATGTCAACTTCAGCAACAACTGCCCAGCTGCCCAAGCTGAACAACAACAGCAACAACAACAGCAACAACAACAGCAACAACAACAGCAACAACAGCAACAGCAGCAACAGCAACAACAACAGCAGCAACAGCAGCATTCGCCGTCGCGGCCATTCAAGCACACGTTATCAGTTTGCAACACCGCAGCCACTCAATTGCGCCGATCCTGCCGGGACATCTGCGTCGCCACAGAAACGAATGAAGCATAATTTTATATTTGATCCGCCCGTTGCAGTGGATGAGGCGACCAAGTGTTTGCCCAACTCGTTGCAGTTCAATGGTGCCACATGCAACAGCAACTTGAAGAGCACCGGCAGCGTGATTGATGTACTGCTGCCGCCCAAGCGCACAGAAGCTCCAGTAGCAGCTCCAGCAGCAGTAACAGCAGCTCCGTTAGCAACGGGAGGATTTGGTGATCAGTTTAAGAAATCCGCCAGTGAATGGGAGTGCGAGGCGTGCATGTTGCGCAACAAGCAGGAGCTGAACAAATGCGTCGCCTGCGAGACGCCCAAGCCAAAACCTAAAGGAGCAGCTAATGCTGCTGCCTCTGGCCCAACTGCGCCGGCCATTAACTATCCAGCTGAGGACGAGACGGCGCGCCTTAAAACCACAAGCCTTGGCACACAGTTGAGCATGTCCAGCATTGCCCAAAACAGCGGCAGCAACAGCAGCAGCTTTGGCAGCAACAGCAACAGTTTTCCTAGCGGCTTTGGTGATGCCTTCAAGCCTCCGGCAAATATGTGGGAATGCGGCTGTTGTATGATCATGAACCCGGCCAGCCTTAATGAATGCCTTGCCTGCCAGTCTCCCAATCCCAAGAGCAGCAACAGCAACAGCAATAGCAGCACCAACAACACCAACAACAACAACAGCAGCAGCAACAGCTTTAAATTTGGTTTTGAAGCCGCCGCCGCCGCCGGTACAGCTGTTGTGCAGCCTAAGGCGGACGCCGGCTTCCAGCAGCTGATCGCGGCACAAAAGTCGAGCAGCTGGAATTGTGAGGCATGCATGGCACAAAATGATACCAGCCGCAACAAATGCATATGCTGTGAGCAACTGAAGCCCGGCGCCACTGTCGAGGAAGCTTCAACCGCACCGGCTGTGCCCAAGTTTATGTTTGGCTTCCCAGCAAAGGCCGCTACAACAGCAGCAACAGCAGCAGGAACGACAACAACAACAACTGTTGCTCCAGTCACGCAGTTCAAATTTGGGTTCGCGCCCGCTGCAGCAGTAGATGCTGGCAAGGATGTGGCCGATAGCAACAAAACTCTAACAACAACAACAACAGCAGCAGCAGCAACAACATTCAGTAGTTCAACAACAACAGCAACAGCAGCGACGAATGTCTTCAAAATTGGCACAGGAACAGCTGGCAAAACGGTGGACTTCAAGCTTGGCGACAATGCAGCACAGCAGCAACAGTTGTCGTTGGCAGCGGACAAGCCAGCGCCGGCTAGCAGCAGCAAGGCGCCGGCAACATCAAGCAGCGGCCAGGACTTGTTTGCAACAACAGTGACTCCAACATTTGCATTTGGCGGCAACACAGCAGCAGCAGCAGCAGCAACGACAACAACACCAGGTGCCGCAGCAAAGCCCGCGGAGAGCAAATTGTTTAACTTTGGCAGCTTTGCGTCCAACACAGCCGTGTCCAGCAGCACCAGCAGCACCAACACCACCAGCAGCAGCAGCAGCAGCAGCGGCGGCAGCATCAGCTTCAAGCCACCAGCAAATTTATTCAATTTCGGCGGCAGCAGCAACAACGTTAGCAGCAGCAGCAGCAGCGGCACGCTGCCAGCAGCAACGGGGACAAAAACAACAGCTTCGTTTTTATATAGCCCACAGACTGCAGCTGCAGCAGCAACAACAGTGGCGCCAGCAACTAGCTTTGCGCCAGCAACTAGCTTTGCGCCAACAGCAACAGTTGCGCCAGCAACTAGCTTTGCGCCAGCTGCCACAGCAACAACGTTTGTCTTTGGCAGCCAATCAGCTATGTCAACAGCAGCAGCAGCAGCAGCAGCTAAAACTGCCGTCAGCAGCAGCAGCAGCAACAGCAACAATTTCTTCTTTGGCGCGCCAGCAACATCAACAACAGCAGCTAGCACCAATGCTGGCAATGCCGGCATCTTCGGCTCCTCCATAACAACACCCAAAAGCAGCATCAGCAGCAGCAGCAGCAGCTTCCAAGTGCCCGCCAGCAGCAACACGGCGATGTTCACCTTTGGCAGCAGCAGCAACATCAATGCTAGCAGCAGCGGCAGCTTTACCAGCCCATCTTTTAGCTTTGGACCGAAGCCCACAGCATCGGCAACAGCAATTGGCGATCTGGCGCCCGGCCTCGCAACGAGCAGCAGCAGCAACATTGGCAGCAACACATCAACAACAACACTGACCAACTTTGGTTGGCCGACAGCAGCAGTAACAGCAACAACATCAAAAGAAGCAACTTCATTTGCAACAACAGCAGCTGCAGCAGCAGCAACAGCAGCAGCTACTCCTTTTGCCAATAATCCTGCAGCAAGCGTTGCAACTTCCTCCACAACTTTGTCCATTTTTGGCAGCAGCCGAGGCAGCAACCTGTTCGGCAGCAACAATACGGCAACAAAAACAACAAATGCAATGCAGCCGCTGGCGGTCAGCTCGCCATTTGGCATGGCAGCAACAACAACAACAACAACAGCAGCAGCTGCAGCTGGCGCCGCCTCCGCACAGCCCAATACCGGCGGCAATGGCACAATTTCCGCCGTATTTGGCAATGTGAATAGTCCGTTTGGTACAAATGCAGCGCCCGGTGCCGGCGGCGTCGCCTCGCCGCTGACAAACATATTCAACAGCAGCAGCAACAACAAGGGAACACCAACAGCAGCAGCAGCAGCAGCAGCAGCAGCAGCAACAACAACAACAACTGTTGCAGCAGCAACACCTAAACCGGCATTTAATTTTGTCAGCGCCAACGCACCAATAGCTGCGGTAAGTGTTGTATAACAACGTATTTTGAACAGTTCCATTAACAACATTCAATCTCTACACAGCCCGCCGGCGGCGTCTTCAACTTTGGCGCAACGCCCTCGAATGCCGCTGCCAGTGGCAGCAGCATCAGCAGCAGCAGCAGCAGCAGCGCGTTGCCAAAGCCAGCCTTCAATTTCACGGCAACTGCTCCACAGACGACGGCATTTAATTTCTCGGCGAACTCAACAACAGCTGGCGGCAATGCGGGCAACAGCGACGTAAGTTTAACACCAAGCATATTATATTTTTCAGCCAGGCAACACTCGTAGTTTAATATCTGGTTTCAAGGAAACGTACATTTAAAAATGAGAACAATTATTGCAATTATTGTTGTTGCTGTTAGCGGCTGTTTTTTCTATTACTGTGCATGCATTTTCGGCAGTGTTGTTTATTGTCGTTAACTGTGCGTGTTGTTGTGTTTGTTATCGTTTATCGATGACACATGCATATATTAGTAGCAAAAAAAAAAAACATAAAAAAAAACAAAAAAAATATTATTTTCGTTTTGTACTTATACTTTTTCTTGTCTTTATTTTTTATTTCTCTTCTTCCATTGCTCTGTACTGTTGGAAAAAAAAAAACAAATATATATATATTCCATTGTAATACTCCCAAACCGCTACATCAAAAAAAAAAAAAAAAAAAAAATTATAATATAAAAAAAAACTATTCCTTTGGGCACGGGCACGATTATGCGATAACTACCTCCTACTCTTACTACTCATATTACTTCTACCGATAATTAAAACAACTGCTGTGCTGCCAAATACTACCAAATACTACTACCTACTATCGACTACCAACACTATCAAAATATACTACTATTACCACCTACCACCTACCACCTACCACCTACTACTACTACTACTACTACTACTATTTAAAATGGTGTGGCCAACGAAGTTCTTTCCAAGAACGGAACGACTTTTCCAATTTGGGGCCACTGCGCCGTCAACTGATGCTGGTGGCACATCATCATCCATGATGCCAGCAGCAAATCAATTGTTCAATTTTACCGCCTCAGCGCAGCAAATGCAGGTAAACTTTAAATGGACAGTACCTCGATTTAGATATCTATATGTGTATCTATATAAATATTTGATATGTATTTATATATTTGTTATTAATAGTAGTAGTTAGTTTGGCACTTTCGTATCGTTCATTTTCTATTACATGTCATTTTTCTACATTATCAAGCATGCTTTACTGCCCACTGTGCTTGTCAAACTGCACATTGATTAAATATAATTCCAATTATATATGAATATAAATATGTATGTATATATAAATTATTGTTTGTATTGCTCAGTTTTGCATGCTCGGCCGCGAAATGTTTGACAAGCACTGACAATAAAGCTTTTCAATTAACAAGAAACAAAACACAACCTCCACTCCACCCACCCACCTCCTCCCGACCGACCACCCCCCCACACATCGCCCCCCACATACACATTACATGATCACATTCACAATTATTCCATTTCAAGCTTTATTTACTTTGGCCGCCCAATCATAGCACATAATTTTACATACACATGCATACCTAAATACACAAAGAAAATTGCCAAAAAAAAAAAAAACAAAGTGTTGGAAAATCAACAAAAGATGTGCAAAATGCTGAAAGCTGGCAAATTTTCTTAACATTTTCATTTGCGCCCACAAAATTAGCGAACACAAACAAAACATTCGAATTGTTTAAATTACAACACTTTTAAAAACAAAAACCCAAAAATATCTTTTCCAGTCATCGCCAAACGCCGCTCCGTTCCAATTTAATGCCGGTGCGCCTGCGCCAGCCAATATATTCGCGTAAGTAGAGTAACAGAGACGGCAATATAGCCGTGTGCGCTTGCTACAGATCAGAGTGAGCAGAGAATGTGTGCAAGGAGGAAAGAGAGTGTTTTTGTTTAATTTGGCCTAATGTTAAATTGAAACAGGCACACACCCCCACACACACACACACACACACGCAAACAAACTTACTTACACAAATAATAACAAAATGCATCATTAACCGTTACAAGTTTGGCATTGCATACGTTTTATTTATAAGGCACTTTTATGTTGAAACATATTCTCGTTGAATGCACATTATACATTTGTACATGTCATTGTGCCATATGTGTGTTTCTCATCTTAAATACCTCTGTGTGCGTGTGTGTTTTATGTGTGTTTATTATCTTAGTGTGTGTGTGAGTAGCATAAGCTCTCGTTTACTCGATTGGCTGTGCTCTGAATGTACTCTCTTTCTCTTTCTCTCTCTCTCTCTCTCTCTCTCACTCACTCACTCACTCACTCACTCACTTGGTGTTTTCAGGCGCGCTTGTTCGCTGCACCAGAAACACCCTGTTCTAATTAATCGCTAATTCATCCTCCTCCTAAAACATTCACAGTTTCAATCCACCAAACGCTGGCAGCGCCATGCAGAATCCACGCCGCAAGATACGCGGACCGACGCGTCGCCTGCCGCCGCGGTAGAAATGGAAAGTGGCGCCGCCGCTGACGCCGCCGCCAACAATGACAGAACCGGACAACAATGGACAACACTGGGACACGGACTGGGACGTGGATGCGAATTGGGGGCGGCGGAACAGCAGCTGAGGCACAACGACAGCCACACAACGACGACAATTCGTGACAGCGGGCAGCAGCAGCATCAGCAGCAGCAGCAGCGGGAAGGAGAAAGAGAAACACACAGGACGGCGACGAGGACAAGGACGACACTGAGCTGCCCCTCCGAACAGCAAACACCAACGGCGACGGCCATGTTACAGCGCCGCAGCAGCCGGCTGCACGAACGCCACCAGCAAATAAAAAATGAGCTGCAACAATTGCAGCAGCAGCAGCGACGGCGACGGCAGCAGCAACAGAAGCAACAAAAACAACGACTCAACAAATATCGCTTTGTGCGCAGTCCGACCGCAGCCGCAGCCGCAGCAGCAGCTTCAGCAGCAACAACAACAACAACGGCGGCAGCTTTGGCGGCTAGGGTTGCCAGACAGTACAAATTAAGCTTGCTGAGCAAAAGGCAAACGCGCAAAAGCAGCGTCAATTCCAGCGCCAGCAACAACAGCAACGAACTGGAAGGCGGCTGCGCAGCCAGCATCGGCAGCAGCCACAGCGACACAGTCACAGCCGCCGCGTCCCACATGCTGCACAGTCGCTATAAGCTGGTGCGACGGCGCAGCGCTGCCGACTGAAAGGCCAAGCGGCGTACGAAAGCACATGAAGAAGGAACAACAACACAACGAGAGTTAACTGAACGGGTTGGCAGGACGCCAGCCCGTGACGGAACAGACTGGAACAGTGCAACACTACAACAACAACAACAACAACAACAACAACAACAAAAACAAGAACTACAAGAACTACTAAACGGATTGACGGAAAACAACTTTTTGGAAATCATCTTTATATAATATACATACATATATAAGTTTTGTTTTTCAAATGCGCGCTCTGGCAAAAATCGAAGAATTGAAGGAAACTGAATAAGAAGCAGACGCAGACGCAGACGCAAAAGCACATTGTCTGCAGCAGCAGCAGCAGCAGCAGCAGCAGCAGCAGCAGCAACAAATCTGATGCGCGCAAGTCTTATAAATTTTAGTTATCTAGTTTCATTTATTTTTTTTTTTCTTAAATTAACTTAAATTAATTTTTGTTGATTTGTCAAATTTTAGAACCCAAATTATACATATATATTATATATAATAAAAAACTATATAAAGCCAGTCGGGGAAACATTTATACGTACACGCTATGGAGAGATTGTACACGCAGCCGTTAATTTCAAACACCAACCGCAACAATAACAACAACTAAAGAAAACAACAACAAAAGCAAACATTTGTAAATTTGAACTGTATTTTTTTTTTGATATGGTGAACTTTAGCGCTTTTATAAATATAAACAAAAATATTATACATACATATTTATAAAACTTTAAACGATAATTATGTAATAATTATTTTGTGAAATTGTAAAGAACATGTTAAAGAGACGAAAAAGAAAAAGAAAAATAGCGCAAAAAATGAAAGTATATACATACATTATTAAATGGAATCATTTGTTTAGACAATTTTTAAGTGCAACTTGCCCCACAACTTTTTGGTTGGCGCTGCGTAGCGGTTATCTAGAGAAGAAAGCAACTATTTAAAAAAAAAAGAAAAGAAAAAACTCATTACGTATATGTATGTCATTGTTTATGTTATTCAGTTAAGATTCGATTCGATTCGATTCGATTCGTACTTCCGTTTCCGTTTCTCAAAAAGCAGGAATCGCGAGCCGAGCAGGAATAACAGCAAAAACAACAATCACTACCCAAACAAGATCGGCAAGCTATATATATATATATATATATGCATATATAGCTAAAGAAACGACACAGAAAAAACTACATTTATATAATGTGCGTGTTTTTTTATAAACAAATAACATAAGATGAAAAACAAAACTGGAACACGAAGTCTTAGTGTTAAGCGGCTCGAAAAGAACGTAAATAAACAGTTGACAAATTGAAATCATAATGTAAATAAGTAAATATTAATGGTATGATAATTAAAAACGTGACAAAAATATTAACTCTCAACTCTTTGAATTTTGTGACAAACTGTTATGCTATAAGCGCGCACGTTTAATTCAAATCCCAACGGACTGTTCGCAATTAACAGTGTTGGCTAAAATTTTAAATGCGAGTGCTGCCAATCATTAGAAACTAATTATGCTCATCGTTATAAAGTTTTCAAAATATATATGTAGAAAAACACTGTTACATGTAACGGGCGAATCTTCAACAAAACGGTTAAATATTAACAGGCGGTTGGCAGTTGAACTTTGCCAGACAGTGCTGCCAATGCACGTACAGCTAGTGATGTGATAACGCTTTCGATTGACGTCGACTATTCATATATTCATATATAAAGTTTATTTCATTTTTCAAATTCGGACATGTAAACAACATTTTAACATTTTTCAAAAACAAAACGATTGCTAGTCTAGGCTGGCAAAAAAATTAATGTGACCGAATATATGGGTACTTTGCATCAGTTTTGTCGTTTCCTTATTTTGTGCTTAACGAAGTACGGTCACTCTCAACTGTAAAATTGGTGTAAAATTTAAAACACCGCCCTAATATACGAATATAGAGAACAGACGCCTCTGAACGATGACTGCCAGCTGAAAATTATTAAGTTCTTGGACCTGAGGAGCCGACTGGCACTTTCGATTGGAACTCGAGCCGTTGCAGAGCTCTGTGGGCTCAATTATGGCATAAATGCGTATTCATTTATCATTTTGGACAATATTTAACGTGAATTGGTACAAATGGACGTATTTTCGAGTTACGATTATCTTATATAAGCAAAAAAAAAAAAAAGGCACAAAAAATTGCAAATTTCTTCATTCAAAGACATCGACAACGGGTCCTTTTTTTTTTAATTTATGACGGGTTTTGGTAAAGCTTGCATAGATACGTTATCTTCGATGTATTGTATTGATATCTCATTGAAGTAATGTGCAATCTGTCTGCTACGTAAATTATAAGGCTTATGTTATATTAGTCTTCTTCATTCATCTCATTACTTTTTCAAATTTTGAACTTAATTTTCCTTGTTTTATTCCCTGCAATTTTCAAAAGTGCATAGGTAACAGTGTTAAAAAATGCAGAAAAGGATTACTCATCGATATATTTACTCTTGAATATCATATAAATTTATCGCATATTCGCGACTTCAATATCGATAGATATCGCTGCGATATCAACATCCCCAGTTAACAGAAAAACGCACGACAAACATAAATTCGTGGAAATTACGCACGGGTGTTTTTTCGTAGCTCAATAGTACTATTTGTTTATTTTTTTCGGTTCTAACTTAAATGAAGCACACATGCATATGCAAATGATTTAGTGTAATTTGTGTATAAGTTAAAGGCAATTGCAAATGTTAGATATTAAGATGGATATCAAATGCAATCAGCGCAGCAGCAGAAGCAGCGGCAATAGCAACAACGACAACAACAAAAAGGCTGACTGACTACACCCAAAAACGCAACAAGAAAAAGGCAGCATATAAAGGAAATAGTTGGAGGCGAGGAATAACAAAACGACAGGAAAAATGAAGTAAAAGCGACAGCAGCGAACGGAACGGCACTTCAGTTGCAGTTGTAGTGGAGTACATACGCACGGTCACACACACCAGGAGACATATACACGTACATACATACATATACAAACAAAAGCAGCACACAAAGAGACATTTGCATGCATATGTGTGGGTGTAGTAGCAGCAGCAGCAGCCCAGCTCCAGTGTACAAACTTCGGGTTCATTCGGCAATCGTCGTTCGTTCGTTTTGTTCGCACGCTCGGTTTATCGTGTTGGAGTAACAGCATTCGCCTACGCAGCAGCAGCAGCCGCCGCAGCAGCAGCAACGACAGGCAAAGGAAGCGGTTTAAGAATGCATGGGCATGCACAAAGTACGAAGCACGAAACACGACAAATGCGAGAAACACAAGAGAAATGCAAATTTAACAGAAATTGAAATAAGTGCAACGGGTTCCCAATTCAACAGCGCATTGTAATTCAAAACGCAGTCGCAAATTTATGCCAAACTGATCAAAAGCGGGTGCGCGCGCGATAGAGAGAGGGAGCGCAAGATTTTTCGTGCAGAGTGAGAGACATAGGCCCCGAAGAGATACTAGAGAGAGAGAGAGAGATCAAGCGCCGTTAAATCGGATCACGTCCATTTTAGCCACAGCCGCAGTTCCTTTGTTATTGGATTTGTTATATACCCAACTGCTGCTCCTGCCTCCTGCTTGGGACGTTGACGTCGTAATATGGATTGTGGTGCTCTTGCCGCGCAGCAGCAGCAACTATTACAACAACACCAGCAGCAACAGCTACAACAGCAGCAGCAACAACAACAACAACAACATCATCTGCAGCAGCACCAGCACCCACGACAACAAAATACGCTAAATTGCCTGGAAGCAACAGCAACAACAAATGTAAGTTTACACACACACACGTGCATATATACATATATGCATATATGTTCGCTTACATGTATTTCTCTTTTACTTCCACTTCACATTCGCCCCCACACACAAACCGATGCGCTGCGTTATGCTGCCTGCGTCGCAGCTGCCGTCAGCGTCGCAGTCAGCTGCATTAGCTCTTCTTACAGTTTATTGGTTTTCTTATTAGATATTTTTCATATGAGTAACTTTGACTGCGACGCTAGCATCGCAGTCGCTGCTGCAGCAATTGTCTTTGGCTGCGTGTGGGCTGACAGGGGGCGTGGCTGCTAGCCATGTGCATAAATAATTTAAGATTGTGATTGAATGTGTATGTGTGTGTGTGTGCCTGTGGAGAGGTGGGCAGCTTGTACTCTTTTGAAGGCAGGTACAAAGTGCATGCAGCATTATTTTCTGTCTTGGCCAAGTTCGCGAAACCCAAAAAAAAAAAAAAATTAAACAAAAACAAGGCAACTGGAAAAACGAATGACTCAAAGACTATTTAACCAGCTGATGATTAATCTCTGCATAGCTACAGCTGCTGCTGCTGCGGCTAAAGAAAAAAGCAATGAAAAACACGTAAGAGCGCACTAGTAGAAGTCGACTGATAAATACCCTGTAGTAAGTAGCACACTCGAAAAAACTAAACTGCTTTAGTTTTAGTCTTAACTGGAATTTACGGAAATATAATATAATTATTATAATGTTAAAAAACAGTTTTAATTCAAATCTGATTAAAACGAATTCTCTCTCCTTAAAATAGTTTTATTATTTGTGTATGTTCTGAGGACCTAAATCAATAATCTTATGAAAGTAGGAAGTATTTTGCTAAATCCCATCAATACTGCTAAATCCCATTTATACTGAATAACAACTTAACTATCTATTATGTAGGTTGTCTAAGTTTAACCAATTCTTGAATACTCCCCATACATAGTACATTATACCCCCCTTAGTTCATATAATAAATATAGGATATATAACTCACAACACAGTCGAGAAGTACCGATGCTTTAATTGCCGATTTGTACATGGTACGAACTTTTGCCCATTACTTTCACCGTGCATAAATTCTAAAGCAAAGATGTTCAAAATAAAAACAACAATGAACGAGAGAAGTTCAAAATAAAATTGTTTGTACAAAGGCCATAACAAAAAGAGAAAAGAAAGAAAAGAACATACAAAGCC